CTCTTCCATAATAGTCTCTAATTTGAAACAATATGAAGATCTTCTACTCTGAGAATGAGAAATGAGCAGTGCTGGTGCAACTTCACTCCAATTGTGAACAGATTTCATCTCTCTTGCCATTTGAAAATGAAACTCAAACAAATATTTTGTTGTTTTGCAAAATGAGTTTGTATTATATAAGTTGATAGTAGATGAAAAAGGGTTTGGGAAAGATTTGTTAAACAAAAGAGGAGTCAGAAATCAAATGACTGAATACAAAAAGTGAGAAAACATGAGTCATATATAAAGGGTTACAAAAAAAACTAATTTAATTTTTAACCCGTAAAAGAAGGACATAACAAAATGTCCAACAATTTTAGTTAAGAATTCTGAGAGTCTGATTTGCATTTTTTTTTTATAACAACTATAATTCGATGACAATTTTTTCTTTCTTTTTTTAGGATTCCTTTTTGCATATTGATGAATGGATTCTGTTATAATTTGTTATTCTTTCTGGTTGAAATACTTTATATAGGTTTTTATAACTTCTAGAAAACTATAATTTAGTGACAATTTTTTTCTGTTTCTTTTTGGGATTCGTTTCTGCATATTGGTGAATGGAATATGTTACCGTTGGTATATTTTTTTGGTTGAATTACTCTGTAGTCTGCATAGGTTTTCGTAACTTTTACAAAATTTCTTGATTTTATCTATTTAAAATAAGATATGTATAAAATAATAAAATAAAATAATATTAATCATTGGTTAAAACCAACAATAGATATAATAACTTTAATTTATTTGTACATACATTTCCTCGACTTAAAAGAATTAAATCTAAAATTCGTGCAATTCTTTTTGTCTATGTATTTAAAGAGCATGATATTAAATTCAAGTTAAGTATATTTGTTTAGGAGTTAATCATCTATACACTGGCAGTGTAAAGTTTTTTACACTGATAACCAATCATATCTTTTAAAGTTGCTTATTTTATTATTATTTTATTATTATTTTATTATATAAGTAACTGACATAACACTATTAAAAGATATAATTGGTTGCCAGTGTAAAAAAATTTTAGAAGGACAAAGTTTTCAAAACGAATTTTTTTAATACATAAAATGCTTATTTTTTTCTAGTTAAATAATTGAGTAAATTATGTTCCTCTCTCTAAGAAATAAGAGTATATTATACTGTTTCTTTTATTATGTTAAAATACATAATTTATTATTTAATTTAATGCTAAAGTAAATTACATTTCTCTCTTAGAGATACATTTATCACATTATCCTCTTCATATGTTAAAATATATACATTTTTGTCATCCCTTAAAGATATAAATATTGTATTATTAATTTTTTATTATATTAAATTTTTAAAAATTATTAAAATAATAAATAAAATAGAAATTATAAAATAAATTATATATTTATACTTTTATATATATATATATTATATTTATTAAATATGATAAATAATACTTTATAAAAAAATATTAGTTTATTTAGATATTTATTAAAATATTTTATTAATAACATCAATTAAATAATATCTTAGTACTTTAAGTTTAAGATATAATTAATACTATAACAATAATATATATATATATGTGTGTGTGTGTGTGTATCTCTGTCTTTGTGTCTGTGTGCATGTGTCTTTGTCTATGTAAATTATAGATCTCAGTTTAATTAATTCATCCTTTACCAAAAGACTTGCAAAAAGTCTATAATTTACATACACAGACAAACAAACACACACACATATATATAGTAACTTTGAATCACTTGGGTTGACTTAGTGATAGAAAGGGGGTTTGAGGAAGTATGCACAAGGTCTTAGATTTGAGTCTTGTATTTTCATATATACTTGTTATATGATTTTATGTTTATTTATTTTTGTGTAATATATATGGATGATTTATTTGTTATATGATGGATAATGGATAAATGGGGGTTGGGGGTAGTATGCACAGGGTTGTGTTTCTAGTTGTTTTTTAGAGCTGCGAGGGTTAAGAAATCCTTGAGAATTATGTTATTATGAATTTTTTGTGTTGAGGCCTAGTTGGAGCAAGAAAGATTTTTGTAAATAGAAAACTTCTTAAGTTTCATTTCCAAATATTCTTGAGATAACGTAGAGAGAGAAACTCTAGAACCAGAGAGGCTGTTTCTCCTTTTGATTCTACCAGGAGCATCCATATCCTTCTTTGAGATAGAGATTAAACTTAGAAAGCTGATTACGAGTTCGTAAAGCACAAATTTGAGGAGAGAAGTCAATCCTAAAGGATTTTGTTGTTCTTCCTTTTTCTTCTAATTTCTAGCTTCTTAGAAGTAGACAGGGGTAATTTCTTTAAGCTTAATTGCGTTGTATAAGTTTCTTATTTGCTCATTAGTGGCTTATATTTTGATTATTTTTTATGATTATAGTTGTGTTAAAAAGTTGGAGTTTTGAGAATGTTGAACCCAATACCTAAAGATGTTATTTTCTTGTCATTAAGTTGTTGCATGTTGAATTTGAGTAGGATTTTGAGTTTTTGAGGCTCAATTTCATGGATTGTTGTTTTTGGTGGCCAAATGGTGTTGGAGAATGCATGCACATAATATTGGAGGTGCAGGACATTCTCACTTAGTGAGATGATTCTCGTTGAGAAAGCTTTCATAGGTTGAAGGTAAAACCCAAATTTCACGGGTTTTTGCTTAGTGATAGGTTGGTTGCTCAACAAAAATGAGGAACAATGAAACTCCATTGAGTGAAAAATAGTTGCTAAGTGTGCATTGGTCACTAATGTGACCATACTATTTTTGCTTAGCAAGCCCTCATCTCTTGATTGAGGGTATTTTCTCTTCATTAAGTAGGATGAATTGGTTGAGTGAGTGACAATCTCTAGATGATGTGAGTTTTCGAGCTTGTTGAGCCATGTGTGATGGCTGAGTGAGTTGTAGGCTTTACCAAGAATTTCCCTTTGGAATTTGGGTTGCTTAGTGATGATCAGTAATGGCTTGCTCAATGAAAACCTTGCTTTGGAAAAACCTTAACTTAGGTGATATTTCCTTGTTGTATAATGATGTTTTAATGTTGTAAGTTGTTTATATGAATTGTGTAAAAATAATTGATAATATTTAATGTAAAGATTGTAAAGAAGTGTGATGAAAATTGTGTGTTTTTAAGTTGAAATGTATATATTTGTGCATGTTGATTTAGGTTGAAATAGTTCTCAAAAACCTTAACATTGACATCACAAGCTCACTTTTAATTTTTCTCTTTATTCAAATACAAAACCAAAGATCTGCTCATTCATTTTCTATTTCCATTTTCTGGTTGCAAATACAACTAGAAATAGTGATAATGAAAAAGATTAGACACTCCAATGTCGTGTATGAGGTTAAAACTTAGAAGGAAACTTTTAAAAATTAATATATTGAGAAAGGAAATATTTGATAGATTAATTTGATAAACAAAGTTTTTAGAGAATTAATAATATGCTTGGCATTATGAAACATTAGCAAGAATCTCGTATTAAAAATACATAAATATTCTCTCCTAATTTGATATGACCGGCCATTTGTTTAAGAATAGTTGATCTTTTGACACCTAGGTACTTGTTAAAGGGGAATTAAGTTTCAGATCGAAAAATATTATGCAAATGAGATAATTTAAGGAATCCATGATGTTGTAACATTTTTGGATTTTAATGTTAAGAAGAGAAACTATAAGATTGGAAATTTCTTGTCTCCAGTTCAACTTATCCAGTATGGTTGTTAGTAATAATATTTCTTATTATGCATCTCAATTCAAAGTTCAAAGTTGAAATGAGCTAGACGAAGGAGTTATCCATCGATAGCCACTAATTAAGGTATATGATTTTTAAGTCAAAATAGGAGTCATCTATCAATAGTCACTAAGGTATATTTTTTTTAGTCAAAGATACTAAAAATGCTAGGAATACAATATTTGACAATTTTTTAATATATTTTTTTAATTGGTTAAAATTTATTAAAAAAATGTAAAAATTGATGGATCTCATGTCATATTTAATAACTTTCTCTCTCTTCCTCAATATATGTCCTGATTATATATTTTTTAATAAATTATAAACAATAAAAAAGAGTATATTATGGAAAATGTGTTAGAACCATAGTTTTAAAAACCGGACCGGTCATCAAACTAATTAGGGTATTAGGTCAGTGGGTCAAAGGTTGAACCAGTGGGTCACTAATTGAACCGCATAATCCGATTTTTATTAATTTTTCTAAAAAAATATTCATGTTAAATATATTTTATACTTATAAATTTCAATAAATTCATATCCTATCTTAAATTTCAATTTTCATCTTATTTAAAATTATCTTTATTTTTATTTTGTGTAAAGAAATACATAAAAAAATTATTTAATTTTTTTTTTGTTGAACCAGTTTGACCTACTGGTTTGACCTACTGATTCACTGGTTGAATCGGAAAACTAATCGGTTCACTCTAGCTTAAAACATATTGAATGCATAATCGATTCAATTCAAGATGTAAAGAAATACATAAAAAAATTATTTAATTTTTTTTTTGTTGAACCAGTTTGACCTACTGGTTTGACCTACTGATTCACTGGTTGAATCGGAAAACTAATCGGTTCACTCTAGCTTAAAACATATTGAATGCATAATCGATTCAATTCAAGATTCGGACTGACTGGAGCACCAGTTCCCGGTTCAACCAGTCCGAGCGACCGGTCCGATCTAATTTTTAAAACACTAGTTAGAACACTCTTCTAAACATTTAAGTTTAGTGTTCTCACTAGAAAAAAAAAATGTTCCTACTATTCTCCCTACCGAAAAAAGTTCCTACTTTTTTATTTTTTTAATTCTGTTTTTCGTATATTTAGGATGGACCCTCCCTTTAACATGGTTGAGCTTCGGAAGGGAAGTACAATGATATTTATACTATGATAATATGGTATTTATGTTTCATTTTTAATGTTATATTCGTATTGGCAGTAGTGTCTACGCGCTGACATTTGGTTTATATACGCGAAGGTGGCATTTGCAGTCTTTCACTCAGCAATTTCATTTGCTTCTGAATTTGAGAAAAGTCGCGAGAATGAGGGAAGAGGTTATCAGCTCCGGAGGCACCGTTGATCCCACACCTGCTGCCAGGTACTCTACTCCCCTCTCTCCCAACCATTCAATTCTTCCCTAATTAGGGTTTCCTTTTCCCTGCATTTTTGCTTTTCAATTCCCTCGCTTTCGCCCTCTGCACCGGATTTCAACTTCAATTGGCCACTGAAACACACTAGTATTGTTGCTGCTGCTCCTGCACCTCCATAATTTGATCTAATTAAAAAAAAAACACGGTGTCGTGTTGTTCTTGTTACGAGTTGTGTGTTTTTGAAATGTTCTGCTTATGCCTTTACTTACTTACTATCTAGTTTATTGCTTGTGTTTGTCTTGGTTGACGTCATTTGTGTCATTACAAAGGAAATTTCACTCCAGCAGGCAGTCCAAGCAAGTCATGAATTCCAGCAGCCTGATAATCATTACCACCATATTTATATTTATTCTTGAATAAACACCCCAATGAAATATTAAAAATAAACATTCTAAGATCATTAAGTTCAAACTTAATTAGAAAAAAGCAAAAAGGTTAATGATTAATATTCATTGACCAATTACGGAGTTTATGTGAATCTGTTCTTTGCATTTGATATGTGACCACATGTTGGACATGTTCTAATTAAGCTATCTTTGTGTCTCTCTACAATGATGCTGTGGTTGTTTTCAGGGTAACTGCACCGAATCATTTCCTTGTTATTCCTTTGTCCCTCATTCCATTTATGGATATCTTTGTCTCTAATCTCCTCTTATGCTGCTATAAAAGAAATGGAGCAGAAACAGGATCGACCAAGGATGACTGAGATATAGGTTGAGCTAAGAGATGAGTTTAAAGTAGTAATAATTAACTAGAGGGGAAAAGAAAATGTTGTCTCTTCTAAAGTTTGCTCCCCTCATGCCAGTTTTTGTTGAGGGGTGGGAAGGAATTAAATTCTCCCTCACTTGTTTTGGAGCTTTATGCTTTTGCATGAGTAAATGTGGAAGTCTTTCCCAACCTATGTAGCACGGATTCGGATATGACATGGGGATATGACACGGACACGGGGATATGGCAAAATAAAAAAACATAGGGCACGTGGGTATGATATATATATA